GGGGTCGGAGGCACTGCTTTGCAGTGGTTCCGCTCCTATCTCAATGGCCAGTTCCAGAAGGTGGTGCTGGGGGACTATGGCTCTGCGCCATGGCAGTTATGCCATGGAGTACCGCAGGGGTCCATTTTGTCCCCGTTGCTGTTCAACATCTACATGAAACCGCTGGGAGAGGTCATCAGGAGGTGTGGGCTGCGGAACCATCAGTACGCTGATGATACCCAGCTCTACCTCTCGTTTTCCACCAATCCAGGTGAGGCAGTGGCTGTACTGAACCGTTGCCTGGCCGAGGTAATGGGCTGGATGAGGGCCAATAAACTGAAGCTCAATCCAGACAAGACGGAGGTCCTGTTGGTTGGTGGTTTGGGCTTCGGAGAGGGTGAACCTTGTTCTGAATGGGGTTGCACTCCCTCTTAGGGACAAGGTCCGCAGCTTGGGAGTGCTCCTCGACCCAGAGCTTTCACTAGAAGCTCAGGTGACAGCAGCGGGAGGAGCGCTTTCCTCCAGCTTCGGCTGATTCACCAGCTGCCCTCCTATCTGGAGTACGACTGCCTCGCGACAGTGACACATGCACTGGTGACTTCCCGTCTCGACTTCTGTAATGCGCTCTACGTGGGGCTACCCTTGAAGACGGTCCGGATACTTCAATTGGTTCAAAATAGAGCTGCCAGGCTGCTGACGGGGACTGGGCGTTATGGTCACATGACTCCAGTTCTCCGTCAGCTTCACTGGCTTCACATTGAAGTCCGGGCCCAATTCAAGGTGTTGGTGATGACCTATAAAGCCCTAAATGACTTGGGTCCTAGTTACCTGAAGGAGCGCTTGCATCCATATATGCCCAGCCGCCCCTTGAGATCGGCGGGGGAGGCCCTTCTCCGGGAACCCTCCGTGAAAGAAATTAGGAGGGTGGGGACTCAGAGGAGGGCTTTCTCTGCGGTGGTGCCTAAGTTATGGAACGCGCTCCCCAGATAGGTCCGCCTGGCGCTGTTGTTATTTGTTTTTTGGCGCCAGGCGAAGACCTTTTTATTCAAGTGGCATTTTAACTCTTAATATTATTGGATTTTATCTGGCCAGGGCGGCTTATTTTATACTGTATTGTTGTATTTTTAATTTAATATTCATATTTTTAATTTATATTATAATTATTTTAACTTAGTGATGTAAGCCGCCCCGAGGCTTTGGCGAATGGGGCGGCATAAAAATGTTTTAATAAGTAAATAAATAAATAAATAAATAACAATAAAACAATAAAAGTGCCCCCTACCTCATCTTAACAGAACCCATAATTTCATAAAAGGCATACCACATTCTATTTTAAAAAAAACATTAGAATACCAGCAAAATAAAAAGGTCTTCACCTGGCGCTGAAAGAAATATAAAGAGGGTGCCACGCAAACCTCTCCAGGGAGCTCACTGCAAAGTCAGGGTACCACTCCTGAAAAGACCCCCACCCTTGTTGCCACCCTCCTTATTTTCTAAGGAGGGGGCTCCCTCAGAAGGGCCTCACCTCCAGATCTAAGGGGCTGAGTAGGTTCATATGGGAAGA